CATACCCATGCTGGAGATATAAATACACCATATTATAGTTAATTATTTTCATTTCGATCAGGAAAGCCTTTAAGATTAACATACTTGCTTGATCTGTATTTTATTCGATATTCTCGGGATGGATAACTTGTTTCTGAATAATATAACGGCCAGCAATAGTTTTTTGTCTCACACAACGACATTGTTTCACTTCATTATTTTTTTCATTCATTATGAATTATTTGTTGCAGACAATATAGCTCTCACACATGTAATTTTGTTGAGCTGTAAATTTCTGATGAATAAATACAAATATATTTCCATTTTGCGTCATCGAATACTCCCATCACTCCCAGGAAGTTAATCTTTGACCCGGTTTCATGTGAAGTGAGATTATGAGACTTCCAGATTATCTAGTTCACTTTCGGTGCACCTCTGGCTTGCAGTGCGGGGCGCCGCGCCGGACCGAGGCACGCGCGGGTTTGCCCGATTATTACAACGTATGCTCACATTGAATTCGTATGCAAATAGCATCCAGTTATACAGAATATCCTAGTTTATCGGTCCAGAGATGTGCATACGAACTTAAATCATCGATTATTGGAAAGATGTCTAGTCAATTGATGTTCGAATAAGTCGAGCTACCCTCTCCGGAATCGTATGCAAATGTCGGGAAACTGATTAATGGGTCCGAATTCATTGTTTCGCCAAAGGGCATACATTCTTAGATCATCGACTATAACACTGAAAAATTGCCACTTCCGGTTCGTATGCCGCCCTTAGGGAGTGACTTAGGCGTATGCAAACCGGCAAGCGCATCAATTTTCGTGAGATAAGATCATTGCACTTCATTGCCGAGCTTCTCCTTAAACAACATTTTGAACTTTTTTCCAACCGAAAGGTGAGGTCAGGGCCGGGCAAGGACTGGGTTGCGACTCTCCGAGGCACTCCTTCCTGTTAAATTGGACTAAGTGAGTGGGTCTCTTGAATGGCATACCGACTTGGAACATCGATAAACCCTGTGTCGCGGGCCAACAGTCTATAATACTTGGGGTCTAGCAATAATAATTACAGAGGTATAGGATGTGAAAAATCGAGATTTTTCAACTTCAGGAATTTTTTGGGTCGAAACTATTCATAATTAGTCGAAACGGTTTTCATGTCCCTATTCCAACATTTCATTCACTATCAATTGATATTTAATTGAAATAGATACGGGGTGGTAGAAAATCTTAATTCTGCACCACCCTGAACAATTCGAATATCAATTTATAGTACATGAAAAGTTAGGATAGGGACATGGAAACCGTTTTAACCAATTATGAATAGTTTCGAGACAAAAAATGCTTAAAGTTGAAAAATCTCGATTTTTCACACCCTATAACTTTGTTATCATTCCCGCTAGACCCCAAGTGTGATAGATCGATGGAATCATCTTTTCAGGGACAATCTGAAAATGGAATGATATACAGGGAGTCTCTTATTTGAAAAACTCAAAGTTGTTGCTACTTTTCAATATAAGCGGCAACGTCGCAGCACTAAGAATATTTCAGGTCGATAGAGAACACCACTAATTATACGAGGAATCGAGTTTTCAAAATAATCCTATGTTGCGTTCTCCAGAAACGTCTATAATGTACCATTCAACGTGAATCAGCCTGTATTTGCACGATGTGCACACAGCTAAGTAAAACTCACATTATGTAAGTATCCTGACGATGAGCAAATAATAGGTAGAAACATCTATTATTGAGAGAAATAAATACAGGATGTCGTTAAAACATTGATAATTTATCGTAATCTAGATATGATGAAAACACCATTTACCTTCTATACCCAACACTAATAAGTATACATTGATGTTATGTCGGCGAAATAAACATCGATATGGGAAATATTTGAGTTATGTAACACTTATGCTAGAAACAATATTGCGAAAACATCAATCTTCTACCTATATAATAATTGATAATCGTAATTATTGCAATAACATTGTCCACATTTCAATCATTTATAATTCAGTACTGAAAACATATCATTAGGATACTTGATAGGAGAGAGTTGGGCATAGCTCTCATCATTCTGAGATACAGTATGAATCAGAAGTAAAATATCAACAGAGATTTTTCAATCTAAATAAACTACTCAACACTAATTTCGTCGCACACCAAAATGTCGCCCCTGTTATAATGTGAATAACTTTTTTCAGTTTAGAACAATTTGAATTTGGTTCACACTGTTCGATAGCCCAGTCCTTCAGCTATAATCTGATACTTCATTGAAACATAAGGGTATTCACATAAAATCTCTACATGGTGTTTTCCGACACTGTGCAAAATTTCGGAATATTCAAAAGGCTCTCAAATGGTGAAAACAATTTTTTTCTCAACTTCGACAACAGAGGCATAAAGATGATCTCATTACCTCGGGATTTTTCGCGAATCAACTTCTTATCTCTTTATTTACAGAGTGATCTCAAAAAATCAACTTTTTGGTTTTGCAGTCATAACTTTTTTCCACGTCAACCGATTTTGGAAATCTTAGGCTCATTTTGAAGATGAAACTTCAGATGAAGAGATATGAATATCATAATTGACTCAAGATGGCTATCAAAGATGTAGAGTTTTCTTGAAAGTGACCCAAATCTGGAATGCCCTTCGAATCTTGGTTGGGGGGAGAATTGAATGAAAATCAAGTTGTTCTCGGAAAAACAATTCATTCTGGATGCGCCCATATCTTCCTCGCTCTCAGTAGTCAAGAATTGTGCCCGAGAAAACACAATTGAAACATGTTTTTGCAAAAACATTGGATCATTTCTCCTCTGTAATGCATGGCCGGCGTAACCAACGTCATAAGAATCACAATGAGTGACTGACAAACCCGACCAGCTGAGGCTCATCATAAATGGTGTACCAACAAGAGCAACGGATTTTGATTTTTTCAATACAGTGATTTTTTTTAACAGTTGTCACGTTCATAACATGCGATTTAAGAATATGGAGAAGTATTCAAGCAAACAACTTTTATTTATTGTAAAAACGCATTTCAAAAATGGTGAAAGTTTCACGAAAACAGTTTGCCAATTACGTAAAGTTTCCAGTCGCAATAATGCGCCGAACGAATCGACAGTAATAACCAAACAATTCGTGTCGGAGATAAGCCCTTTGAATATGGATCGGACTGTCGTGTTTAGCAGATCCGCGATTTGGAGGGAAGATAACCCTTGTTCCCTCATTTGTGGAATCAGTTCCAACTGGTCGGGCGTTAGATGCGGCATCGAAACTATCATAATCTGTTTATGATTCGAAAACAACGTCGAACCTGACTTGTCAGTCACTTACTATGATTCTTGTAACGTTGGTTACGGGCCATGCATTACAGAGGAGAAATGGTCTGATGTTTTTGCAAGAACATGTTTCAATTGTGTTTTCTCACGCACATTCTTAAGTACTGTGAGCGAGCAAAATATGGACGCATCCAGAATGAATTGTTTTTCCGAGAACAAGTTGAATTTCATTCAATTCTCCTCCCCACCAAGAATCGAAGGGCGTTCCAGATTTGAGTCACTTTCAAGAAAACTCTAGATCTCTGATAGCCATCTTGAGTCAATTCTGATATTCATATCTCTCCATTTGAAGTTTTATCTTCAATATGAGCCTAAGATTTCCAAAATCGGTTGACGTGGAAAAAAGTTATGGCTGCAAAACCAAAAAGTTGATTTTTTGAGATCACTCTGTAAATAAGAGAGATAGGAAGTTGATTCGCGAAATATCTCGAGGTAATGAGATCATCTTCATGCCTCTGTTGTCGGAGTTGAGAAAATAGTTATTTGTTTAACTAGGCAGCAAAGTAGTAGATTGACTGCCGTGGCTGAATTCATAGCCGAGCGTAGCGAGGCTAGGAATCCAGCTAAGGCAGTCAATCTACTTTGCTGCCGAGTTGAACATATAATTTTTTCTCCGATTGTTCATAATGATATGGGAGAATATTGTATTTGCGAATTAATACAATTCCCACAATCTCTTTATTCTTGTATAGTGTTGAATTAAAATAAGATTTGATAGAAATCGCAGTTGTTGGTTTGACAATTCATGAAATTTCTGACAGTTGTGCGAAAAAATATCAGTATATTTAAATTATTATATAATGGACAGTGATAGCGACCTGGAAGTATACTTACACCTCCATTAATGAGGGAGGTGGCAAAAAATATAGAGTTGAATTTGTTGCTGGAGAAGTCTCGGATGAAATATGAAGGAAATTATAAACGATTTATGGATTTTTAATTTTGCTGATATATATCAATCAGCAAAGTAACCACTTTGCTGCCTAGGCAGCAAAGTACCCACTTTGCTGCCTAGGCAGGTAAAGTAATACTTTGCTGATTGATATGTGTCAGCAAAATTGATATTTGCTGCCGATCGGAGGAAAACATTTTTTTCACCATTTGAGAGCCTTTTGAATATTCCGAAATTTTGCACAGTGTCGGAAAACACCATGTAGAGATTTTATGTGAATACCCTCAAGTTTCAATGCAGTACCAGATTATAGCTGAAGGACTGGGCTATCGAACAGTGTGAATCAAATTCAAATTGTTTTAAACTGAAAAAAGTTATTCACATTATAACAGGGGCGACATTTTGGTGTGCGACGAAATTAGTGCTGAGTAGTTTAGATCATAAGCAGCTGACTGGAAGTAAAATAGTTCCTGGCCCGAAACAGAAAACCAAGTTTTTGGGATGCACTTTTAGCAATTGATCTCACGTGATTTTCCCAAGGATGGTTATTGCTGATAGTAATACCAAGCATCGAAATGGATGTCTTCAAAGGTATGGTCACTCCTGACAAGCTTATGTTGGGCACAGTGCGATCGGCAGTATGAATCAAAAGTAAAATATCAACAGAGATTTTTCAATCTGAATATATAGAATATTTGGGTGCTGTGGTGCATCTAATTATTATTGATTTCACAATATTTCATGATGTTCTGATGCTTTTTTTCATGGAAAAACTCGACTTACCATCAGATACTCGAACTTGAAACTTTTTTTTCCACCAAAACGTCTTGAGAAACTTGAAATTCACTCTCGGTGAGTTCATATTGGAAGTAATACTATATAGTTACTAGTTATAATAAACTAGAAAGTATCAAGCCGAACTAAAATAATCTGATGTCATTGAAAAACATGTTTCCCATAATGACTATACACAGTACCTAGATATCCTGAATTGTTCGTGCACATATTGTTTAATAATGTATTGATATAGTTTTAGGTTTCCAATTGGCAGAGGCATGCAATATAAACATGTTCATAGATATACTGTTGTAGTAAGATATCATGTTTCATCGACTCACTCTTGTTTATATACGAAATTTCAATATTTGGTGCAGTGTGTTATTCAAGCCGTTTATTATAGGAGGGAAAAAAATGTTAAATTCATATCCATTATTATTTACTATTATTATAATTCCAACATTAATAATAATTATTGCTTCATTCTATATAACACACTATGTATAAAGTAAGTAAAGTATTAAAGATATCACAATTTTATATCCTGAAAGCCTAACATAATACAAACTATGATACAAATAATCAGTGCCGATAATAGTAGTTTTGGAAAAATACACTGGTTATAACATTAAATAAATAAAAACAAGATCCATCGTAGTTTTACCAAAATTTATAAGTAGTTAGGTATTGATTCGAATATTGATGATATGAGTATCCTTATAGATGATAATATTAATGGTACACGTTCATCAATAAATTGAAAACAAAATACTAGAGGTATTCCAGTTTTTCGTATTTCTCTTTGTATTTCAATGTTGTTTTGTAATTATGCGACGAGAAATACAGGGGATCAGGAATACCACTACTATTTATTAGTGTCATATATAAGGTTCATCACATCTCCAGTATTTTAGTCAATTTCTGTTTCGATTGAAGTAGCGGACGAAAATTCATTAGATAATTAGTGATACATTCTTTCTTCCAGACTGTTATCCTCTTGCAGTTGTAAGAGCAGGCACTTTTTCATAATCTAAGTCGGTTTTGGCGCTTCGTCTTTTCTTCATGTCGCAACTGCCGTTCTCTTGCGATTGTTGTATTTCACCTTCCACCCTGTAACGCAGGAAACAAGGAGCCATTAGTATTAATTTACACCTGTATGGTTAGAAATAATTGTAAATCCATGCCCCTTTTGAATTAAGAAGAAGATATATTGAAATAGTGCATAATTCTCTTCGTTTTGCAATTATGGTGGATGCGCTTCGAAGATATGGTGGGTGCGCCACAAGATATGGTGGGTGCGCCACAAGTTATGATGGATGCGCCAATCAAACTTAATTGAATTCGACTCATCGGATAGCTTCATTGGGCAATAAAACCCATATCATGATTATGATTCCATGAGTGTAAAACTTGATTGAAAGCTTTGCCGTTCTATGAACAAACGAATTCTGGAAAAATGTTGTTCGACATATCTCCGGGTGGCCAACGAGAGGATGTGCTGACTGGCCTTGTCGAGTTTGTCTGACTTGTATGATAGCAGATATTTCTGAAGAACATTTCCCATGAAAGTATCTATTGAAAAGGGAAAGATCACCGACCTTTCTACGGTGTTCCAATGATGTCAAAGAATCAGTGAGTGTGGCATCAGCGTATGTTCGGGTGCTGAACCCCATATTATTATGTGGGAACACTATTCTAAAATAGGCCGGATCTGTGCTTCGTAGATCATGACCCAGTAAACACAAACATCCCTTGGATGTCACATTCATGTCTCGCTAGGTAACAATGCGAATCACAAGGAAACATCATTAGTATTGTCAGGGGACTGTTCATTTCACAAAACATTTGCAATATTCGCAACATTTCATTGGATTTGGATCACCATTTAAAATCTATATTTCATACATTATTTTCCAGTAGTTAAACTAAGACAACACGACTATCGACAGAGGGAAATACACGCTTTACTGGAACTGGAACGCCGGCCTGTGTTCTAGCAGGAAAGCAGGGGAGCGAGATGATTCCGTGACGTCTCCGTGACATTTCCGTGATATTTCCATGAGAAATCAGCACCTTCAGCCCCGTGTGGCTAATTTGCTACGGAAATATCACGGAGACGTCACGGAAAAGTCATGGAATCTTCACGGAAATGCCACGGAAATGTCACGGAATCACCACGGAATCATCTCGCTCCCCCGCTTTCCCGCTAGAACGTAAGCCACGTACCAGTTAAGAGTAAAGCATGTCTGCCTGTATTTCCGTATGCTGATAGTCGTGCTGTCTTAGTTTAACTATTTATTCCATAATCCTTGACTCTACTCTACGAATTAAATTGTCTGTTCATTAGTTATTCATTATACAAGGAACACCAGTAGTAGATTTTTGACCCAGGTTGTGTTGTGACAATAAACCGTGAGCTGAAATCTAATATTTTTCCCGTGTATAATACACTATTTATTTCTGTGACAGGGAAAAAATACTCTCTTTTTCCCGGAGGAGTGAAAAGTGACATTCTGTAACCTGTTAACAGAGATAAAATTTCATACATTTCTCCCGTTACAAAAAAAGTATTCTCACTTCTTCCTTTCGTGCCCGAAAAGTTGTCTTGACCCGTCTCCCGTTCTCTGCGTCCTCTTCTCGATCATCTCGTAGGGGGTCGTTCGCAAATCGTACGCCAATCCCAAGTAGAAGCAGGCGTCGATCACCATCGTGGTCACCCCGTATCTGGAGCCGAACTCGGCCGCCCTGTAGTCCCAGGGGAAGGTGTGGTGGTAGTTGTGCCACCCCTCGCCGATCGAGACGAAAGCGACGAATTTCGATTCGACCGGTAGTATGAACCTACGAGTATATGTATACAGGGTGTCAGTTTGAAAACTTCCCACCCTTAATATCTCCCTCCAAGTCGATGATATGGAAAAATGAAAAGACAGGTCGATTTTATTCTCGAGAGGGACACTTTGAATGAATATTTTTGACCCTCATGGTTCCACCCCCTAGGAGGGGTATATGTTACCCTCAGAATATGAATGGGTAAGGGGGGTCAAGTGGCACATAATTTTGAAGGGCACTTGATTCTCTTTCCAACGGTACCTTACTTTACTATTTTTTGACGAGCAGTTTCTGAAAAATAGCGTTCTAAACCTACAGAAGTGATCTAACCTTGCCTGCACTGAGATGCATGGTTTTCAGGTTAGTATTTAAACAGAGATTATTGTATTGATTCTCCTTTCAGTAAAACTGGTCAGGAAATTAGGTAACAACTTTCCATCTTTTCAACAGGGCAACATTATTAGCCATTAGCCCCAATAAATCAAGATCAATAAGTAATAGTGACATTTCGATAGTAGCTTATTTGCGTTTATCATTGGATTTTTAATTCTACAGATGGCCTACCTTTTTTGCTACTGCTGATTAAAAATAGTAGATTGTTTTATTAGGATCAAAAGTGACACTTTGTTTGACAAGCGAATTTGGCATTTGCGAGGCGGAGCGTTTAGCGAAGCCGAGCGAAAGCAAAATTTGCGAGTCGAACAAAGTCACTTTTGATCCGAATGAAACATGCTATTTTATCTGCAACCGAAGCAATTAACTCAAATAAACATTTGAAGTAACCACCAATGCCGTGCCATATGTATGCAATGCAACAAATATTGACAAATAATCCATGTGGTGAGAATACTCTACCTGCATTAACAGCAGGTAAGGTTTTCTAGGATGTTCGAATTGTAGTTTCAATATAAATACAACCACAGAGTGACATATTTGTGTATGGACCAGGTGCTCTAATGGCAAATACCGCTCCAGTGCCAGGTATAGGAACAAGACGTGGAAAATGTTAGGTTAGTGAGCATATCAACAATGATAATAGTGATTATTTATTCCTCTCCATACTACACTGTGTTTGACTTGATAATCAAATGAAGTGTAACAATATCGTTGTTTGAGACAAAAAACTATTGCTTGCCGTGATTATTCAAAAACGAGTTATCCATCCCGAGAATAACGAATGAAATACAGATCAAGCAAGTATTTGAATCTTGAAGGCTTTCCTGATCAAAACAAAAATACTCAGCTGAGATGTTTATAATTCCAATACTGAACTATAATGAGGTGTATTAATATCTCCAGCATGGGTATGAAATGCCAAATCTGCTGAAATCGGAAACAAATCAGGTATGCGTCTCAACCCAAATAACCAACCATCACAATGTTGTTTATTCCTGATGACGTCCAGTAGATCCTTTTCAGTTCCTAGGAGCTAAAGTTCAACTTTAGCTCCTAGGAACTAACATTCAACTTTAGCTCTTAGGAAGTAAATATTTTGCTTAGCAACATACCTATTTTTGTGTCAGTAATAGAAACGTCAATTTAAGAGCTAATTTTGGTATCAAAATGGACGACTTTTGTGTCGGTTGCAGAAAAAACTCCGTTTTTTTAACAAAAGATTGTTCAGCAAATTTGAACGATTTGGTAGTATTATTAATTGAGTTTTATTTGTTGAAGCTGTTCAGTAATACCTTTATTCAGAGTATAAATTGTGGAAATGGTTTACACTCTTTAAAAAAGAACTGAAATGATTGTGGTTTATGGAGAGGCTGGAAAATGCGCACGAAGGGCGGCATTTCTTTTTAAGGAAAAAAATCAAGATTGTAATGTAAGTCACCAGTATGTGCTTGATTTGGTGGAAAAATTTCACGAAACTGGTTCTGTGAAAAATAAAGAAGGAATAATCCTAGAGTACTGAATGAGGAAGCTCAAATTGAAGTTTTGGGAACATTTGCTGCAGAACGTATATCGTATATCTGACGGGAATGTCACACGAGACTGTAAGAAAAGCACTGAAATTACATGAATTTCATCCATATAAGATGCAGATTCTTCAAGAGCTCCATGAGATATGATAGAAGAATGGAATTTTGTGAAACGATGTTATATCGAGCCAATGCCATCCCTAATCTATTGCTAGATATATGTTTCAGCGATGAATGCTCATTTTTTCTGCATGGAAATGTTAATAGACAAAATTGTCGCTATTGGAGTGACGAAAACCATTACATTTTTCGAGAAGGACATACACAACAACCACAAAAAAATTATGTTTGGGCTGGTATTCTTGGAAATGCCATTGTTGGTCCTTTATTTATCGAAGAAAACTTGACTGGCAATCTGTACCTAGATATGCTTGAAGATAATATCGATCCTCTAATAACTCACGAACACGAAAATCAAATTGATGCAGACGGTAATTTACTTTTGCAGGAGGATCTGTTACATTTCCAGCAGGACGGTACTCCACCTCATTATTTTCTTGCCGTCCGACAGTGGCCTCCGAGATCACCGGATTTGACTCCTTTAGATTTTTTCCTTTGGGAACATCTTGAATCCGTTATTTATAAAACACAACTGATGGATATTGATGAACTCAAAGAACGAATTACAGCAGCAGGCCGCTCAGAGAGGAGTTCGAAAACAGACTTGTTCAGATCAAAATAGACAACATTTCGAACAGTGCGTGAATAGATGTTTGTTATTCCTATCTCGCACTCTGAAAGTTTTTTTTTAAGTAATATAACCAACAAACAAAAAATCAAACTTGTAGACTAGATTTATTTCTGTTGAAACGATGCGACCCAACCTTCTACCATTTTTATCAATGGGAGATTCAAAGCAATAATTTTTGTCCTGAAAACAATGCATCTGAGTGAAGGCAAGTTTTAATCACTTCTGTGAGTTTAGAACGGTATTTTTCAGGAACTGCTCATCAAAAAATAGTAAAGTAAGGTACCGTTGAAAATGATGTGCCACTAGACCCCTCTTCCCTATTCATATTCTAAGGGTAACATCTACCCCTCCTAGGGGGTTGACCCATGAGGTTCAAAAATATTCATTCAAAGTGTCCCCCCTGAAAATAAAATTGACCTGTCTTCTCGTTTTTGCACTAACTTGAAGGGAGATATTAAGGGTGGGAAGTTTTCAAATTGACACCTTGTATGTCGGCGTCAATTAGTGAAATCCGACATTTCCTGAAATGCCTAGTCATTTCACGTCTTGTCGGCAAACAGCGTAACAGCATAACTTCCATTTTTCTACAAGCGTGCGTGATTCACCCTATACCCGCACGCAATTTAGTTTGGGAAGTGTCATTTTCCCGCAACAGTACGGGAAAATTTTCCCACACTAGTGCGGGAAAACAAAGATATGATAAAATCACTAGTAATGTAAGTGGTTGGTGATGGAATATAAAAGTTTAAGTTTGTTTGTTGCAGTATTAAGTATGTATGTTCAGAATCATCCATCAAACTGCACTATTTATTGTAAAAATTAAGAACTAAAAATTGATTATTATAAAAATCCCCCTATAGATTTGGATTGATCTGACGGGAAACGTCAATTTGTCATGCCAATCAAACCTCAAATAAGTTTGAAATTGTCGAAGTGACAGACACAGCGTTACTGTCATTTTCGATTCGGTGGAAATGCCGCAATGTGATCAAAAACTTCTAGCTATAGGGATTTGATACAGATGCGTTATCACCAACTAAGTCTTAAGAAAGGTATGAGAAGCTATACACGCGTTTTATTGAATGGTGCAACAATAAAAAAATGAAAAAACCGAATGAAGAATAGGTATTTTTGGCTCATTTCATAGAAGTGTCTAGAACCTAGAGACCAAACTCCTAATGGGCCTGCTGGCTTCCGCAATGAACCAACATAATGCGTCAAACTGTAAGTTCACAATAGCTATTACTAATAATTAGTAGATAGAGAATATATATCTCTTGTTAGTTGTTCCTATTTGCTTGAATAATCAATTGAACGATTCAATCAATTTCCTACGCTTGTAGAAAAAATATTGTTCCTAACTCATGCGGAAAGTTTCTTTCTCTACGACTATCGTATTCTACATTGATTACATATTGGTTAGTAATTGATGAATGAAGATGATTCCAAAACACGGTGGATCCCAACTCATTATTCAACGGCACTCGACCAATCACAGATTCAGAATTTTCAGGATCCAAAGCAACTGAAAAGGTTAGACTAATGAAAAACCAGCAAATCTACAAAACAAATTTCTCAAGAAGGCTCTGCTTCATTTTACGGGTCACGTCACGTCTTGACTTTCGCGAATATCAGATTGACTTATAGAGTCTTTCAAGTTTTAACTTTGATATCTGGAGGATATAATGGAGGCTTGCCGTTCCATAGAAATGTACTCTATGAATATTGAAGATATTCAAGATCTTGGATCTGCATGGATGATAACTATTCCTGAGACCAAAACAAAAATTGTAAGGAGGTTCACTGTAACCGGAAAATTTTATCAATTTTGTGAAAAGTACATTGATATACGAGCAACAAATGTTGGGATTTCCAATTTTTTTATGAATTACCAAAAAGGAAAATGTACTCCTTGGAAAATTGGAATTAATAAGTTTGCAGCAATGGGAAAACAAATAGTTACATTTTTGAAGCTACCAAATCCCGAGATGTACACCGGGCATTGCTTTGCTTGTCAATGCAGGTGGAGGTATAACAGCATTGAAAAGACATGGTGGCTGGAAGAGCACATCGGTGGCAGAAGGATTTCCATGTTGAATAAAAAAACGGCAGATTCGAATTCTTCAATGAATCGAACAATGTTCATCATCATCAAATAACAGTTCCTTCACACAAAAAACATCAACTAGCAATATGAATAAAAATGTCAGTGTTGATTTAAATGCAACACCAACAGTAAAATTTCACGAATTGTGAGAATATCACTAAAAATTTAGTCACTAAGTACGAGAAACATAATTCACTGACCTAATAATTATTGTGTTGTTTCATCATTGTGTTCGTTATATCATTAAAATTCATACATCAAGTATATTATTTTCATAAATAATAATTAGATTACATTAAATTTCTGACTATCGTATAGTCGTAGAGAAAGTATAGTCTTCTACTCGCGTATAATAGCTATTATTCTCTCGGATAATTCCGAAGTTCGCCTACGGCTCGTTTCGGAATCATATCCTCGGGAATAATAGCTATCATTATACGCTCGTTGAAGAATATACTATTCCCGCACACGACTGCTTGCCCGAACTCCGCTTTGCGTCGTTCGTGTCAACGGCAGTCACGTGCGGGAAAGAATCACTTTCCGGACTTGTTGGGAAAATTACTATTTCAGCCGTTACTCTGTTTGCCGGAGGGATGAGGAAGGAAAATATCCTTCCTGCATATGCATAAGAAGGGAGACTATTTTTTCGCCTAAATGAACCTTCTTCCTAGAAAGTATATTTTTCAGAAAATTACTTGAGAGAACAGAAGAGACTACTGCTTCTAAACAACCTTAGCTGACTCGGCCTAAATGAACCCTCCTTCCGTCATTACAAGGAAAGCCTGAAACTATTAGGCAAACGGTGTATACGAAATTCAGAGTTACGCTGTTTGCCGGCAATACGTGAAATGACTCGGCATTCCAGAGAATGACGGATTTCACTGTTTGACGCCGACATATATACATGGTGTTACGCTGTTAGACACTCAAGTGTGTTGTAGAATTCGTTGAAGTGATTGAACCTGCAGAATCGTAAAGTTCTTCAATGAATTGAACTGAACTGAACCGAAATACAGTGTTAAAGTAAGAAATCAGTAATTTTTATTTAATCATTTCCTCGAAATTCAAAGGTGGCAAGTACATTTTTTTCTGCTCATATTATTAACTTACCTTCATATTACTCAATATAACTTATGTTTTCAGTGTGAAACATGAAAACATTTTCATGGTGTCTGAAAATTCGATGCAATAATGTAATATCGATAAAATTGTTTAGGCATGCAATATACTATTCTAATTCCATGATGAATCACAACAGGGCACTTCGAAAAATTGGTGACACATATGACCGATTTATTCATACACATCCATTATATTCAAATGAATTGTTATCCTTGAAAGATAACTGATACCATATGAACATAATTTCGTGATGCATGAAGATTTTCGATGATGAAAATAACAAAAAATCGTAATTCTGAAATCACCCTATTATGCATGATTAACTCGGTGAAATCATTTTATAATATACTAGCAGACCTCGCAAACGGTGTTCTGCTATTTACATTATTTCTATAATATATTTTTTCAGTTCAATATTCGTCAAGACACTATCATTATTTTATTTTCTACTTCTTTTTAGTTTCGCTATCTATAAAAGCGTGTTTGTTCAGTTTCGAACAAAAATAGCGATCTTCTAGAGTCTTGAGCCAATTCATCAATTACTTCGTTGATAAAATTAACTCTATCTCTATTACTCTATTTATAAGAAGTCGATGAATACTATTTGAACAAAGTCTTTGAAAGTCACTATAATAAGCGGTTCAGAATATGGATTGAATAATGCAAATGTATCTTGTTGAGAAAGTACCTATCTAAGTAAGGACCAGGTGCTAGGGAAACAAACCGTTATATAATCGAACTAATTTTTTTACTGCTATAACACAAAACTGCTCTTGTTTGTATGTACTTATTTGTATGTCATCAATTTTATTTCCGTATCTTATATCACAATGACTCCATTGTGTTATTATTTCAAATAAATAAAACTCATTGCCCATGGAATGTCAATTTTTAAGCATTACCTGACAGGAAATAAGATGGCTACGAGACGAAGAAATAAAAATTGTTGCTGTTATCTGTTACAGCCGTAGAAGAATTATAGTGTATAACTCACACGGAATGCTGATTTCCCACTCGGATGATTGCAGCATTCGCCTACGGCTCATGCTGCAAACTTCATTCTCGTGGGAAATTACTATCATTCCGTGCTCGTTGAACAAAAATTTGGTGAAATATGACCACTTCATTTGTCAAGCATTTTATTTTAAGGAAACTTACTTGTCGAAGGGTTTAGTTCCGTATAGGTGTGCTGCACTGTTAACTAGCCATGTAATATTCAAAAGCAGCGTATATCTGAGAATATAAGCTACGATAAACGAATTGACGAAGGTCTCATTCCAGAAATAAATTGGAACAGCAACTGGAATCGCAATAGCGAACACCATGTAAAGTAGCTTATAGTATCTGAAAGAAAAAACAATTCAGTAAAATCCGCTGAATTTCTTTGCATTTGCAATTTATATCACTTGAGAAGAGAGAGAAACTGAAAGTTATTAAAGTTTATAAAATCAAAGAAAATGGTAGATAACGAGAGAAAAACAACTACTTTCCTATTAGGGGTAGATGTTACCCTTAGAACCTTATATGAAAAGGGCGTCAAGATGCACATAATTTTAAAAGGCGTTCAATTTTCTTTCCAACAGTACCCTAGTTTATGATTTTTTGATGAGAAGTTACCAAAAAATGCCATTCTAAACTTAAAGAAGTAATTGGAACAATCCTGCACTGAAATGCATTGAAAGTCTTCCTACCATTTGGACTGAAAGGGTCAATACTGAAAACCATGTCGAGATAACAGTGCAGGCATGTTCTAATTACTTTTGTAAGTTCAAAACGGCATTTTTCGGAATCAAAAAATGAAAAATTAGGGTATAGTTGAAAAATCACTTGAACGCCCTTCATGTGAGGTTCTAAGGGTAACATCTACCCTTAGGTTAGGTGAGGTTAACACGGTGGTCCGGGGTAGAACCCACGTAGGCCAGGGGCCCGTTGTGATGCCGTATGGGGTGGTTACCACCCCCACCACTATCGTGAGAACCAGTAGCTGCTGTTAATGAACAGCATCAGGCTTTTGATTCCAACCGACTGAAGCTCGGATAGGTTGTCAAAATAGGGCTGCCCGAGACCAGAATATCTATTCCTGGATAGGGCAGGGCAATGACAGAGTAAGTAGGGACCATCGTCACTTCCTCCTCCTCGTCTTGACAGCTTCTACAGAAGTCATTACGTGGTAGGATTCTCATACGTGCAGCATGACATCCTCCAAGCCAGTATCCAGTGATGGCCGCAATCGCGTTTCCAATGGAGCTTCTGGAAAGAGATAAAATATCTCTAGTGCGTCTCAGGTTGAGCTGCGGCCATACCTGTCTAGACAAGGTGCAAGAAGGTTCCTCCCGCCACCTAAGATTGGTTAGGCGGAGTACTTCCTTCCGGAGGAGCAAACTCCGTTCAGCGATAGGTGCCCCTGGTCTAGTATTAGCGGATATAGCTGCGAGCGTCGTACCAGCTCTTGCTCGCTCGTCCGCCATACAATTGCCTGCTATGTCCCTGTGGCCGGATACCCAGACAAGATTTACTCTTACTCTAGTCGATAGCTCATCTAGGGCTTCACGGCATTGTATAGCCGCCTTTGAGGTCAGGTAGACTGAGTTTAGAGACTCAATGGCAGCTTGGCTGTCACTTGGAATAGATATTTCATCGGACTCAAGTCCGGTTTGAAGTACCCAATTGGCTGTTTCATTTATAGCTACCATTTCGGCCTGGAAAACACTGCAGTAGTTTGGTAAGCGGAATGTTAGGTTGAGGGGTGGGGACTCTGAGAAGACTCCACTTCCTACTGGCCCCTCTAGTTTTGAGCCATCTGTATAGAAGAGCGTCCGATTTGGCTTAACTAAGTTCCCCGCCCATTTTTCTCTGGACCACCGAGAGCTTGCGGTCGAACATCGGGGTTGGTTTCGTGTAGTCTGTGTCATTTAAGGTGAGATTGAATTCTTACAGAATATTGGAGTGACCGTAGTTTGCTTAGGCCATGGTGAGACTGCATTGAGTCTGTGAGCGGTGCTAGCCGCGCACTCTTTTCCATATAGGTCCAATGGGGTTAGATTTAGGATAATTTCCAGGGCTTTAGTCGGGGTTGTCCTAAAGACTCCCCGTCATGAGAACGGCAGCTAGTCGTTGAACCCTTCCCATCCTTTTCCGGTTGACCTCCTTACATAGGGCTGGCCACCATACTAATGATCCATACATGAGTATGGGTCTCACGATCGCTGTGGACAATGGACAATGCTGGGTCCCAACCCCCATTGTTTGCCAATGGTTCTTCTGCAGGTGTACATCGCAACTGTCACCTTTTTCACCCTTTTCTCTATATTTTCTCTCCATAACAGCTTTCGGCCAGGGACAAGTCCTAGGTACCTAGCTCGTTCGGAGAGTTCTATTTCTTGGCCCCCCTATACTGGGAAGGCAAAAGGAGGGTATTTTGTGTTTCATCGTGAAGAGAACTAGCTCCGTTTTGCCCGGTTTTATACTTAGGCCGCATTTGTTGCACCAGTGCACGAGTTCATTTAGTGCCTCCTGCATGACATCCGACAGAGTCTCTGGAAATTTTCCTGAAACCATAATCGCAATATCATCGGCATAGGCCACAATTTTAATTCCTAGTCTTTCCATTCTCTGGAGGAAGCTATTGAGAGTAAGGGTCCACAGTAGGGTGAGAGAACTCCCCCCTGCGGAGTCCCCCTGTTGACCACTCTTCGTATCTGACAGCCAGAGATCTCACTGATCTCAGCGTGTATCTTTCTGCTGCAGAGCATGTGGTTGACAAACTCAACGATTGGCTTGTCGATTCTCAAGTTTTCCATTTCCCCTGTAACAGCACTGGGGATTGTATTCTACATCTACCTTTCCTTGGGGCTAAAAATATGCATTTCAAGTGTCTTCCTCCAAAAGGGAATTGAAGTGTCTATCCGATTTTTCATGTCAGTTACTGAAAGGAAGATATTATCGGGTGGAACATTTTCTAAGTGACACGACATTTTTCAGAAACTGCTCGATAGAAAATGTTTAACTAGGATACCGTTGGAAAGATGATGTGCCCTCCTAGGGGGTGAACCAAGAGGGCTAAAACCAATCATTTCAAGTGTCCCTCTTAAAGATAAAATCGACATGTTTTTTCGATTTCTCATATTATTCACTGCGAGGAAGATATTGAGGGTGGGATGTTTTCGAAATGTCAACTTCTATAGGACACGGAAAAATGCTTCCAGGTTGCCCGGTAGACATTTCGATACTCACTTTTTTTGGAACATAACTATCGAGTCAGCTTCCAAATCCGACATGTCGATGCACTTCCCTTTTTTGATAACCATGGGATGTTTTTTGCTCATCAACCAACCCATGTGCGAGAAGAAGAAGCCTCTGCTCGCGTTGTGAGGATCTCCATCGGTATCGCTGTATTTGTGGTGCTGTCTGTGGTCCCTCACCCAAATGTACATGCAATTCTGTGAAATGAAAGAAATCCGAAATTGAATCATATCAATCTAAACTGCGTGACATAAAAGTGGTCCACTTGAATATTTCTCCCAATTATGAAATCAAATATTAAAATATATTAATTATACAAGGTGATTCTAAAATAGGTGGTCAAACTTTGGGAGCATATAGAGTGGGTGAAATAGTTACGAAAACCTCCGTAACATTTTTTTCTGAAGTGACCCCCAAGAAAGATACAGCCCCTCAAAGGGGGGCCTCGGAGAATGATTTTGTATTATTATCTCCAACACCTTGTTTAATGAAAATCTGAAATTTTGTCCATCCACTTACTATTCAGTGCCGGTTCGAATGGAGTTCAAATCACTTCAAAATTGAATACAGGGATGTGTCAAAATAGGGAGGTAGGGGGTAAAATTAACCCCAACTTTTTTGTTCATCGCAATTTCAGTTTTTTGACATGACATTATGAAATGAATAAAACAAAACTCAAGTCGGCATTATATTCCCCCAGAGGCGTCTTTCATCGACAAAATGAAAGCAACTCCATCTGAGTAGAACAGAAGGAAAGAATCACTCCAAAACTGAAATTCCCATTTTGGCTAACCTACGCTGAGTCGGCGGTGTTAGGACTGCTGGCTGGAGACTACACTGCACTAATGACAGTTAAAGAGCTCGAAACCAGTCTGTGATAGTCTAGCGGGGCCTGGCTAAATCGAAATTAATAGGCAATCAGGAAAGAATCACTTGTATCAGTATTCGTTTAAAGGAGTCGATGCATAGATTTCGGGAGGATGTAATTCAATGCTTTGTGTAGCATTAGCCAGGAAAGTAGTTGTTTTTCTCCCGAAATCTATCATCGTTGTTCATTTTATGAACATTGTGTGGAAATGACTTTGAGCTTTTTGTATTTATTTAATGACAAAATGATCGAAATGGAAGATATAGGGCGATAGATACACAAGCATCTGAGTTCAGCATGATTGGGAAATAACAAATATCGCGTCACCGTGAGTTTATTCTCATATTTCATATTTGATAACAATTTTCACGTTCGAAATTATTCCTCGTATAAAGTGGCAGGAAATGTAACATCGATAATTTATTTAGAAAGGACTTGAATATGGTATAATGAATTTGATATTTGAGAAAATATTTGATCAACATGCCATCAGGAGATCAAAAATCATTCTCGACTGAATTTTACGATTCTTTAGTATCTCGAATCACCCTGTGGATCGATATTCGCTCAATATCAAAGAAATTGAAGTGATGACTTTCTCCCTGTACCGATTTCATGAATAAAGTCTCTCATTACATAAACAGATCAGCTGAAATTGAGGGCACTTCAAAATACGTCATAATATGCCCTATTAGGAAAAAATCAGAAAAATGTTCTGTATGATTGGGATAACTTTGGAAATATCCATTTTTGTAATGGGTCGATGTTTCTCCCTTTAGATCTGAAATCATACACCTAAAGGGAAGAGTAAGCAAACCATCTCCTCATTATACGACTTTTACAAAACATGGAACAAACCGCTCCAGAATCGGACTATACCTTTTCAACTTCAATTTCGGAATCGGTAAGTTATATTTCGGAAAAAGTAATCTCGATTTCAGAATTGGTTAGTTCGATTTCAGAAATGGTAAACTCAATTTCAGAATCGGTGAGATGAATTTCAGAAAAAGTCCATTCAATTTCAGAAATGGTAAGTTGTATTTCAGAATATCATAAAAAAATCCTTATATTTGATCGAAATGTTTCCAATTGCATATGAGATTAACAAACCCATATTTAAATTATTCAACTTTTCAAAAACAATTTAATCCACTGATGCCTTTCATCTGAATCGCTGGAAGATAGTGACGTTGCACATGATTATAAGAATGCAAACACATTTGAGGTGTTATCATTTTTATTGAATGATCTGCACATTCTTCAAGACATCGCAGTCTGAATTCTATCTGGTTGAGCAATCTGTTCGGATCTCCAGCTATGACCCTTTGGCGATGCTCTTGCAAGAAGCTCTTCACTTCTGAGGCACCCCATATATGTTCAATCTGATTCAACATAAGGCTCTAAGTTCCATCCACTGTAAACAATCTTCTCTTTTGCAATTAAAAACATTTCAAACATATAAACGGATTTCATCTTCTGAAATTGAACCTAACAATAATAATTGAAATTCATCTCACCGATTCTGAAATTGAGTTTACCATTTCTGAAATCGAACTAACCAATTCTGAAATCGAGATTACTTTTTCCGAAATATAACTCACCGATTCCGAAATTGAAGTTGAAAAGGTATAGTATTTTTTATAATATTTGATTTCGAAATTGAGTGAAATACTCAGGTGGACCACTTCATATGTCAAGTAGTTTAGTTAGGATTGGCTTCTTCCCTACCTGTCCCGCTACAGTTTGGAGGATATTCAGAATCAATCTGAGAGTAAAAGTGGCCTTGAACGATTTGTGTGAGTATAATCTGTGTGCACCAATTGTGATACCTTCTCCTGAAGCAAATGCCATGAAAAATGCTGAAAAAAGGACAATTATAACGATTTGAAAACCTTCAGCAATTAGAGTAACCAAATAAAAAATACCTATTTAAATCGGGTAGACTGTCCCACAGTGAACCACCGCACACAGTGAACCATTTTCAATTTTACTCCCATCACTATTTTGACAGAAGCGCTGATGAACAGTCGCATTAAAAAAAAAGTGTACAAGTATATTACAGAGTGAAATTAACGTCATCCTATTCTGCATAAAACGGGCTATCGGGAATGATTGTTCATCAAATGTTGACAGTAAAGATGTCATAGGTTCTTGAAAACACAAAGCATTGACTGAGCCAGTTTTACACAACTAGAACTAGGATCCAGAAATCCTCTCTTTTCAATACTTGTACGCTTTTTTATTGAATACGACTGTACATGGCACGATCTATAACGTCACTATACTATATCATCAACCGTCTCTGGTTTTTAAGTTTATCCCAGAACACGCAGTGAGTAAGGTATAGATTTGAGGTAGGTGAACAAAAATTCATTATTACGTTATGATTTTTCACTATTTTCGTATATATTTGGCGATGTTAGGTATCGTCGATTTAGAAATGTCTATTTCAGCATTAAAAACTGTAAAAACTGTTTCAATTAGTCTCACCAGTGACGGCTCGTCAGGGACGGCAGGGTCGGCCGGGCCGTACCAAATAATTTGGGGAAAATTACTGAACTATTTGATGAATAAAATTAGTTTCCAAAACTGTTTTCATAATTCATCGCTCTTTATCCTACTGTTATGCCACTATTATTTGAATTTCATTCATGGAACCTTTGAGTATGCCATCCGCATATACACCGAAAATCACGAACTAATTCAGGACCTACGACATCTGGTAATCCCATCGTCAAAACGCCGCTTTCAGTCTAAACGCTCGCGTAGCTCATTACACTGATGCAGACGGCCGGCCGATCGGTGATTTCATGTCTCGACGCATCGCCACAGGCATCGCCTACAGATTCCCCGCTTCAAGTTTAAATTTTCGCTTATACGCGTCATACCTTGGGTGCGGCCAAGCTCTGCTGGCCGTCCAACGTATCGATCGTACTTATCAGTATCAGTTGTTTGCAGTGCGCTCGCTGTGCATCGTATCGAACCATTCCGACCTAATTTTTAATATACGGATTGGCATGATTGACATTCTATTTTCATTTTACATTGTAGGTATTTATAATTTTAATTCCTATACTTATTTGTAAGTTGATGTTGGAATTTGAAATGTACAAACTGAAAAGAAAAATAATTTCCATGTTTTTGTTTACGCTTGCAGTAGTTGCAGTAAAAATGACTGGTGATTTTTGAATTTGCAATTTTTCAGTAATTCATAATTCAACATATCCATCTAATATTGGTATCAGAATTTTCCTTCAGTGCTTCTGAGCGTCAATAAGTTATAATTAAATTTGAATATTGCTGTAAAAAATGTCAGCAGTCCAAGAGCTGAGTAGGTATTGAAACATCGTAAAAAAGCTCTGGTGACGAAAATGTAATAAATGTATAACTTCCAGAATATCATTTATTTTCAAAGACGCATGTAGCGGTTATAAACTACCTAAATAATATTTATGCATCCATCGCATCGCGGGAAACATTATACCTACGGCTGCACCCTGCACGCGGGCTCGGCCAGCCGACTACGAAGGAGTGGGGTCAGTGGGGTGGCTTGTTACAGGAACGGCGTAGCGTAGACAGATTAGTCATTGTTGTGCTTCTCGCGTTAGGTGAGTGGTTGTCGGTTATGTTGATTTTTTTGAGTTTACATTACGTTTTCAACAGAATATAAATATTTTTTGTTCACGAGTTATTTTATTTTTATTTTTTCGACTTTCTTGTTATTATTTTTTCATACCAACTAACCCTTATCCACCTCCTTTTTCTTTCCCCATTTCCCCTGGCGAGAATGCTCTAACCTCGTGGTTCTTGCTGGACAATTTAATTTTTTGGTTATGTGTACAGGGTGATTCACCATAAATGTCCCCCCCTCTAGCTCAATTATTTTTAAACCGATTTCAAAATTTGAAATATCATCTTGAATGATTTTTGATTGAGTTTTTTTCCGCTACATCAGAAAATACAGGGTGCTCAGAACAAACGATCTACAGGGTACCATTTGATTTTTTTATATGGAACACCCTATTTTTCATTGTATTTTTAGATTCTCCCTGAAAAGCTGATTTGCTCAATGTATCACACTTGGGGTCTATCGGGAATGATTACAGAGATATAGGGTGTTAAAAATCGAGATTTTTCAACTTTAGGATTTTTTTGAGACGAAACTATTCTTCATCGGTCAAAACGGCTTTCATGTCCATATCTCAACTTTTGATTTACTATCTACTGACATTTAATAATTGGAACAGATACAGGGTGATCGGAATTCTGAATCTTGAACCACCCTGTAAATGTTCCAATCAAATCTCAATAGACAGTTAATCAAAAATTAAGATGGAAACATAGGAGCCGTTTCGACCAATAATGAATAGTTTCGAGACAAAAAATCCTAAACTTGAAAAATCTCGATTTTGAACACCCTATATCTCTGTTATCATTCCCGCTAGACCCCAAGTGTGATGCATTGATGAAATCAGCTCTTCAGGAAGAATCTGAAAATACAATGAAATACAGGGTGTTCGATTTGGAAAAATCGAGTAGTACCCTGTAGATCATTTGTTCCGTGCACCCTGTATTTCCTGATGCAACGGGAAAAAAAATTCTGAGAAATCATTTTAGATCATCCTTCAAATTTTTAAATCGGGTCAAAAATAAGTGAGCTAGAGGGAGAAAGGACAATTATGGTGAATCACCCTGTACATGCTTATTTGCCATCGAACTTCACTCAAGCCGCTGACCCACTTACGTTCGCATTTTAGAGCAATATCTATACCCTGGCCGACCCAGGTTCTGAGGGCACGAGCCGTCACTGAGTCTCACGATTATTTTTTCAATAATTCATTCTTCATATTTGTTGAAATTTAACAGTGAACCAGTACCCAGTGAACTATACCCAATACACAGTGGACTATATAATACTCATCTAGTAAATATCTATGGAAGTCGCGAATTATTCTTCGATTTATCTTACTTCTCTTTGTTTAAACTGTCACATATTCTTCAGTTTTTGTATTGTTTCAAGAATATATTTTTCTATTTTGCGTTCTCAATTAAGTCATTATTGTAATACTATTCAGAAATATTCTAATAGAGAGATACAGATGTTCAATAGGGGTATTCCCGGTCCTCGTATAATGCTTCGTATTATCGTATTTTCGTATCGTCGTATTCAGCAAACTAATCTGATTGGTCGATTAGGATACGCGGTCCTTCGTAACTTTACACTACCATTTTCTTGTGTAAGATTACAAAATTGCCGTTCTTACGAAACTGTTCTGACAGAATTTTGTCCCGTGACCGGTTTCAAGGCACAATATAAATACTTCTGATTATTGTAACTAATCTCTGGTATTGAGCATTTTGATTTGGATAAAGGAATTTTAAAAATGGTAAGAATAAGAACAAGAACAATGTGTCAATCTTGGAGGAGGACTTGAATTATTGAAATTGTATGTTCAGTCAGGCAGTTCTAGCTCTGTTTCCAAGAGGGAACAAGGCCCTCATAAAAAGTGACCAGATGATGAATTTGAATTTTTCAATTTCGCACTGGGAGCTTCGGAATAAACTGACAGTTGACATTGCTATCCATGGGTCGTTCCCGTGTTTGAGGGTTCGTAACAATACGTAGGCCATTTTCGTAAATATACGAAGTCAGATACGAGGGCTCCGGAATACCCCTAATATTTATATATTTATTATACAATTGACACATCACATCACAATTATGACAACCAAATGCGTATCGAAACCGCTTTATTAGTACAAGCTGAAATTCTTGTATCAATGTTGGTTATGGTAACGTCAACGTCAAACTGTCAGACACACTAGCGACTAGAGCCAAAACGCAATAAATAACTATAACATTACAAGTATCTTGAGCATTTATTGCCCATCAAATTTGCTGTTATTGTTATTTATCTATATTTGTTAATGTTTGAAAATACCTTGTAAAATGAGGAACAGAAGGAAAAACATGTCATGTCAGTGAGACATTGTCAGACAGAGAATATATAGACTGGAATCACCGAACTGTTTCAATAACTAGTTTATCTATGGAACATATTAAAACAGTAAGTTTTGTTGGGCTGCTGTTGAGACGAAATTATGCTCATTAGTCTGATTATTCAAGTTATTGTTTGTGAAACGTAGAGGCATCAAGATTTTTTTTTATTGTCTGGTTCCCACGAAAACGGATATCCTGTAATGTTCAGGGAACCAAGGGAAATTGAGGTAGGAATTGATGTTCTCCTTCTCCTTAAATTTCTGGAGGTAATATGGTTCGGGGACACCTTCCTTGGCAATGTGTTCCAGAGATTCGCTGTTCGTTGGATGAACAAGTCTTTGGAAAGAGCTGTTCTGCAGGTCTCCAAAGTGACCACGAATGGGTGCGAAGCCTCAACTCGACGGGTAAATCTCGCGGGGACTGCCAAGGGAGGAACAATTGTTGATATTTCAGAAGAGCATCGTCCATGAAAATATCTATAAAATAGAGTCAGATTGCCAACTTTTCTACGGTGTACCAGAGAGGTGAGTGAGTTTGTGAGCGATGCATCACCCACGAGAGGAATTGCCCTTTTTTGGACAGAATCCAACAGTTTCAGGATATGTTTGGGTGCTGCACTCCAAATATGGGAACAGTATTCCAGGACAGGTCGGATCTGTGCCTTATAGATCATAAGCAGCTGACTGCATGGAAGTTAAATAGCTCCTGGCCCGAAACACAAAACCAAGTTTTTGGGATGCACTTCAGCAATTGATCTCACGTGATTTTTTCAAGAAAGGTTATTGCTGATAGTAATACCAAGCATCGAAATGGATGTCTTCAAAAGTATGGTTACTCCTGACAAGCTTATGTTGGGCACAGTGAGATCGGCTTTTCTAGAGAAAACTCTGAGAAAAGGCATGCTAGTGTTCTGTTTGCATTGAAATCTACCAAGTTATTGGATCCTCATTCGAGAATTGTTGCCAATTCCAACTTTATGCTGTCAACATTTCTCCCTCGTTCTCTTCTGATTTGCCTGGCTGGTATTGGAGCCCTGGAAGAGCAGGCGGTATGGAGGGTACAATCATCCGAGAAGCTGTGTACTGGACATGAAGTTGCTTCCAACAAATCGTTGATATGGAGTAGAAATAGTGTTGGTGCTAGAATTGATCCTTGCGGAACACCAGCATTTATGATAAGAGGGTCAAATGAAACTCAGTCGAGAGAGACCTGTTTGAGAAAAAACTAGCTAGCAGAGAACATAGCTGGGGAGGCAAGCCATAAAATGGAAGCTTTGCGAGGAGTCCGTGGTGCCAGACTCGATCGAATGCCACGGCTAAGGTTTGACCATATTTTTCAATAGATTGCTGCCATATATGTGAGACGTAAGCGAGCAGGTCACCAGTTGATCTCTGATGAGGGAAGCCATATTGCCTATCATTGATAATACCTAAATGTTCCAGGTAGTTCATGAGCTCGAGCTTTCTCCATGATCATTGAAATAATAGATATCAGTGCGATCGGTCTGTAGTGGCTAGGTATAGGGTATATTGGTATATAGTAGTTGAACAACTTGCAGAGAACAGGTGTTAGTTCGGGAGCACATTTCTTGAGAACAATCGGTGGGATTCCGTCGGAGCCACAAGATTTGTTGGTGTTGAGACCCAATAAAATTCTCCATAAAGTACGTCGGCGAAAGGTGATCTCGGGCATATGACTGTCAATTGGCGTTATGTTTGTGATGATTTGTTGAGAAGAAAACATTTGAGCTCGCATTTGAGCAACCTACCTCAATTTTTCTCTTCACAGAAGCTTATATGTGACCTTCAGCAACTGCTGAAGATTTCACCGCCTCTATTTGCTAAATGAGACACACTAGAACGCCGAAAACAATGTCCTGTGAAAATCTCATGATTTGGTAATTTAGGATATTCTGCAATGATTCTTGGCATTCTTCCAATTGTGTTCATTCCAATAGGACTTTTGCAGTAATCATTGCGGTATAAAGTAGTAGGTTGTGTTTACATTAACATATATTGTGGTGGTATTGGTCACCAGTTTGACAACATACTTGGAAATTAAGGAATTTGTTTTCATAAGCTGGACGGTTTCTTGGCCAACAAATCATTCATAGCAGTTTGGCCAAATTCCCTCAGTTCAGGTGCAACTTAATTTTGCCTCTTCAGTCATTCTCAGAATAGGAAACTAAGAATTTTGATAGACCAACAATGTCAAATTATATCGCAGGAATTGATGGTGATTTGAATAAATGTTTCTATCATCTGTCAAATTTGGGAATGAACATTCAAATGTTTTTCCATTATTACCCACTATACTTACCTCATATTTTTCTGATATTTGATGTTTCTATGATGAAATTCTTCAAATAAAATAGTACAAATGAATGCAAAATAGAAAAAATAGTATATTATACTATACACCTTTTATAAGACATATTGTCGCACTAGCGCGTGCGAGAAAAATATTTTTGTATGTATTCGCCTTGTTTTTATACTGGTCACTTTTTCCATAAGACAGTACATAGTGAAGCAATTGACATGTTTTTTGGAAAACAAAAATTATAATTCACTTTGTTGATTTGAACGATAACTGTGGCTGGGCTTTTCTTGCCGAAACCCTTTAGTAAGATTAATTGAATTATTTTAAATGGAAACTATATACTATATAATATATGGTTTACTGTGGAACAGTTTACACATTTCATCTGTTCGGTATGCATATCTCGGATATAATAGAATTATTGAAACGCCAACTAGGATGATTCTGATTTGTACAAATATAATAAAAATTGCGAACATGAAAGAATCAAAATGAAGTGTTACACCTATACCGCGTGTTATTCTATTTGGCATACTTCTATAGCACATAATCCTGATGGCATTTTTCTTATCAACAACAATAATATTAACCATGGACTTCTTCCAAAGATTAAAATATTAACATTTTGTGACTGTTTTTAAACATTTCACAGAATAGAAGTAGATTAATTGTGCACTATGTGGTAGGAAGGTACCGTTTGCAAATGATTCATCTGTTTCAATTAATGTCAGTAGACAGTAAATCAAAAGTTAGGATAGCGACATGGAAGCCGCTTTGACCGATAATGAATAGTTTCGACACAAAAAAAAATCCTAGTTGAAGTTGAAAAATCTCGATTTTGAACACCTTATATCTGTATAATCATTTCCGCTAGACCCTATGTTTGGTGCATTGAGTTGTTACTACTTTCCTGATATGCGGCTACGCTGCATTGTTGAAAATATTTTCAGATCGATAGACCAAGAGCAACTACTTGAGTAGGTAACGAAAATTGAGCTCTTTTCTATTTGGTATTCTGTTGAATTCAAAAATAGTTGAGTGGCACAAACTAGATGTTTGACAAGGAAATATTTATCGGACCTCTCTATATATCAATGCGGCCACGTTGGTAGCATATAAGAGAAAGATGGAAGAGGAGAAAACTTCGCTCTCTCTCGTTCTAAGTAGAAAAGAGCTCAATTTTAGAATGATTCTATGTCTCGATCTCCGTAAAGTTTAGTAAGGAACCATCGACCGTGACTCACCATGTATAGTCAAGTTGCAATCGTAGCATAAGTATAATGTTTTTTTCTCAATCTTGAACGATTTGAAAATATGTATGCAATAATATGGATAATTTTCTTCGTGTAACATTTCATTTTGAATTTTGTTTAGTTGTTTTCGACTTACTCCAAGCCACTGTAAGTAGATTACATTTGAAACACAAATATATTCCGTAAAATCCTAGTGCATGCAATACCAAAAATCCTATAGCGTTTGGCCACACTATGGCCCTTTTGAAATTGTAATCGGTGCCTATATCTGTAGCCTTATTTTTGTTAAATTCTACCGATTCTTTGGCGAACCGTTCACTGTTCACGTTCACCGTCATTTTTGGATTCGGTGGAAGGTTTCTCGTCTGCCCAAATAATTATCTGTAAAATATTTGATAAAATTCAATTAGTACAAGGTGAGTCAAAGTATAACAGTTCAGTTCATTTTGAGGGTCAAAAAAAATATCGATAGCGTGTTATCAACAGTGATTTATTGTGTATGATTTCTTCTTTGAGATTCCCAACTTACATCAGAGATATACTCAGTACAAGGTGAGTCAAAATAACAGTTCAGTTCATTTCGAGGGGCAAAATAAAATATTTTTTATTTATCCTTATAGTGAAGCGATGAAACGTTTCAAGAAAAGCAATGCTATTGAATTCAAATATTATCTACTGAAAAATATTTTGACATACACTAATAAATTGCATGATATTTCGGCACGCTTAAATTTATTTAACATAATAAGTAATAAATGTACATATAGGGCCTAATGATAATATGTTCAAACCATAAAAGGACAATACTTCATCTGATTCAGATCAAATCAAGTTTTTATATTCCTCTGTTATAACAGTTTGTTCCTTTACGTATATTTTTTCATTTGTTTTGTATTTTTGTTGCTCATTTTTACTATTCGTTCCTGTTTTTCATATACCTACTCAAATCTTACTTACCGGTGTAACTTTATTTTCTGATATTTGTGAGTATTTTTGAGAGAGAGAATCAGGAATTCGATTATTTTTGAATGAGAAGGTTTGTTTTGTTTGTTCCTATTTTGTTGGAGGTTACTTTTCTGTTTACTGAAAGTACATAATGTTATGACGTCATAGGTTTGTATCATTATCCTTTCTTCGAAGACGTATAGCATAAACTAGATCTTAAAAACAGGTCTATTGAAATCTACTGAATTTTCTGCCAATTAATTATTCACGAAATCCGATAGATTTCACGTGTGAATAAGACCGTGATGTGAATGAAAGAGTTTGAGGTCGATGAACGAATGTAATATGCACATCGGCGACAAACTTTCTATTGTCTCACATGATTGCTAGCCTCGGCTAAGGCCTCGGCAATCAATTTGCAGACTCGACCATAATATACAATGTTTCGTCGGACAACTTTATCGCCCGGTGTATAGGTAATTAGTGAAAAGCATTCCTGTATAATTCAAGACATTCATGTTCCAGATGTAATGATTCATTATCGAATATTACAATTCTCTCGATATTTCTGATGTAAAATGATATGATCGAACCCAATAAAAGTTATCTGTGATGACATTAATTGACAGCAACAATAATAGTCTATTCATATTTCAAAAAACTGACTGAATTACCATAGTAACGTTGATTTCTTTCAGTGGCGTATACAGGAGGGGGGGCAAGGGGGCAATCGCCACCCTCCTCCAGAGCCCCAGAAAAATTCTGGATGTCTGCAGATTTAAATCATTCCAAAAAAGTTCAAAACGGAAGTATTAAATTCAAGCAACTATGTCAGTTCTACCACGAAGACTTGGAAACTGATTTATATCCGGTTCAAGAAGGAGAATTCAAGCTATGGTACAATATGTTTGCTAAGGATCTTTCCAAATATTTATATCCTTTTAACCATATTCTGTAGTATTACCGTTTCCACATCTAGTGCAGAAAGGACATTTTCAGCAATGAAACTATTAAAAACATATATCAGAAATTCAATGGCCAATGATAGACTAAATGGCCTAGCCTTAATATAGATTTACCCAGTTGTAGAGTCCGACCACGTTAACTTTGGGACAGCATGTGGCGCAACGCATATGCATATTCAATGCATACGCGACCACGTGCTATCCCAAAGTTATCGTGGTCGGACTCGAATGAATATTTTGTTACAATGTTACAGTTACTATTCAATTGTTGATTTTGTTAGGTATTTAGCATATATTTTTTAGTAGATCCCTTTGTATTTTTTTTAATGGAATACAAAACTATGGCTTATAATAAAATTCTGTCCCCCCTCCCTGCAAACTGATTTCTGTATACGCCACTGGATGCCTTCAATGATTCCTCACTGGAGCCATGATTTATTTTTATCGTTCTTGAGATGTGAACAGGTATTCACAATGAAAAATCAAATATACTGGTCGTGATAAAATGTATGTATGTACTTACATACATATACAGGGTGTCTGTAAAAGGTCTTTACAAAAACATACCACATATTCCCTAGACCAAAATAAGTCGATTTAAGTAAAATTACCTCAGTACAAAGTTGCATCGTTTGGGCTCCAGAAGGCCTTGAAGTTTCAATTTTTAAATCGTTCTTTCCATATAAATTTAAAATGGCATATGCGATTTTGCTGAAATTTGGTTTATTGATAGAAATTTATGTGGCAAAAAAATTGTGTTGAAATTTTGTCCGATAATAATACATAGGCGTAGAACTTGATTTTTTAAATAATTGCACCTTTAAGAATTCTACGCCAATGGAAGAAAAGGAGTTTTAGTATGAAATTCAGATTGTGCAACTCATTTACTTTGAAAAAGGCACTCTTGACGATTGCTCTCATGGTTTTGACAAAATTTGCATTTCAATAATTTTAGAACATAAACAATAATTATTAAAATACAAACTTTGTCAAAACCATGAGAGTAAATCGAGTTTTATCAAGGGTAGTAAATGAGTATCCAATCCAAATTTCATACTCAAACCCCTTTTCTGCCATAGGGGTAGAACTTGATTTTTTAAATAATTGCACCTTTAAAAATTCAAAAAAGTACCCTTGATAACACTCGGTTTACTCTCATGGTTTTGACAAAGTTTGTATTTTAATAATAATTATTGTTTATGTTCTAAAATAACTAAAATGCAAATTTTGTCAAAACCATGAGAGATTACTAAGGTAATTTTACTTGAATCGACTTATTTTGGTGTAGGGAATATGTGGTATGTTTTTGTAAAGACCTTTTACAGACACCCTGTATATTTCGGGCGTAACTTGCTTTTATCGACCGTGGTGTGTTAATAGCTTACCCGCAACAGTCCATAAAAACCTATTTTACGCCCCTGATACATAAATAACTATTAAACTCACCAGAGCGAAGAAAACGAAGGAAAACTACACAATATCCAAATTTCCGGTCCCAAATAGTATAATACTACCGGCATCAATCTATGGTACCAGAAGTGACAATTCAACCAAACTATTCTTGATTGACAAAGGTCAGTTGCTCACAATTATCACTTATAAAATACTGATATCTGGACAGTTCACGAAAGGGTTTTATAGTTTCTAGATCTTTGATACCCCACCCGTTCAAATAGTAGAAAAAAAATTGAATTTTTCATAGCCCATTGTTAGGGTATTTATGCCAAGGACCAGGGTATGTGTAAGAAGGATGCAAATTTCCTATACTGACTCAAAAACTGTTGATGATTGTTCTATTTGTGCCATACCGAATGTGCCAGATATATTGATACGAGTATCCAGGACCGTACCTATGAAAATATCACTTCGAAAGATCGAAAGATTGCTCCTGAAGATAAGATGCATTTTATTTTCTGGATATGTTCTAAACCATTTGAAGCACAAAAATAAGTTTGTTAGACTGGTTGAACTTTGATTTCATTCAGTGGCGTTATAAACAAGGTGAACTAGGTAAAACTACCTTATCTTATTCGGATGCATTTTTCATTTGATTCGGTTGAGAACATGAAATTTTGAGTTTTTTGATCTAGATGATCTGAAAGGTATGTATTTCACCTATTCATTTCGACCCCTTATTCTTTCCTCAATATAGGGTGATTGAAAATCGATGTAAATATTTCAAGGACATATTGTAAAATAATACTTTCTCTTTATATAAACATGTGTCCTTGAATACACCCAATGAAAGTGTGGACTCTCCTCCAAACTCTCTTAAAACTGTATTAACATAATTTTCGGAGCAAAAAAAGAAGAGGAATGCCTAAAATACAGGGGCATGACAATTTCTCGACGATTTGATCCGCTATTATGATCTCAATTTCAGATAATATTTTCTTTTAACCAACTTACAGTGACCGTAGCTCAGACTGGGTGAATATAAGTCTTATTTCGATTCCAACAATACGCCCTGTATAATGCATAATTTGACATGGTATATGAATGATTGATCAATTTCCCGAAAACAGCGCTTCAATCGAAATATGACAAAGGCAAAGTATAATAATATACAGGGTGTTCCTAAGAGGTCTGAACAAAATCTAAGCATATATTCCTGAGGTCCATATCAGCTGATTCAAAGCAACTGACTTGCTCCGTTTTCGAGATACAGAAAGTATTTTGCAAACTCCATTTCTGCACTTCTAATGCTGATTCTCTGATCAAATTACTCGCAAGAAGATAACAGCAAACATTTGTTCATCGAACATTTTTTCACTTACTTAATCCTATATGCCTTTACACCGTTAGGTCTCAGGCGATATCGAGTTGTGGCTTTCTCCTCCATATATCTCTCCATGATTCCCTATCTTGTGTCAGTTCCTTAATTTCTTCCCATATTATGCCTTTTGTTCCAGCTTCCTCTCTGATTCCATCATTTCATCTTCTTCTAGGTCTTGCTTTACTGTTTTTTCCTTGCACTCGCGCTTCGTATACTTTCGTTAGTCTGTTGTCTGGCATTCGACACAGATGGCCAAACCTGGTTATAGGTTCAATCTGTAGATTTTGTCTGAATGTTTGATTTCTTATTCTGTCTCTTCTTATTTTGTTTCCTATTGTTCTCAGAAAACTCATCTCCATTGCATTTATCCGTGATTTATGTTTTTCTGATAGAGTACATCATTGTTGAGTGTATCATCTTCTTGGCTACCGTTGTTTAATGTTTTTCGGTATTTCTTCCTCTCCAAAGAAAGTTGTCTTCATTATGTTAAACATTTTTCCGGTTTTTCCCAGTCTGTCGTTCAATTCTCCGTCTATTTTTTCATTAAAAATCGAAATATCTCGAAATCGGCCCTACTTTAGCGGATTATCACAACAGTCTATTTTTTGCTTGAAAAATTCAAAAAATTATTGTAGCAATTTAACGAGAAACTGAAAGAAATATTCTTTCCACGATCTATAGTATTCATCAACATC